TTCAGTTTACCTGTGCCTGTGCTCAGTCCATGTAAAGAAGGAAGTTTATAATCCGCCAATCAAAACAGAAATCTGCCCCTTAGAGTTTGCCACAAAGGATTCAGGCGAGGAACAACCTCATGGAAGAGACACTAGTGGTCTCTGCGCTGTGGAGAACACAAAGCTGTGGTTCTCATTTTGTATGCCTCATTCTTCTGTCATCTGGTTGTGCTTATTAACCGGAAGCTCTCTGTTCTCCATTGTTTAAAGTTTTTTTCCCCTTTATCTGTTGCTTTAGGTGGCATTAGATAGGCCTGATCCACAGTTATCTCAGTCTTCCGTCTCTACCTTTTTCCGTGAGGTTGAGGTTGGAGTTGGTAATGAACAAGCAACTGTCTAAGTATGGTTTGGTGTTTCTGGCTCTGAGTCCAGTTTGGAAACACGGGAGAAGTTACCTCAGTAGAGCAAAAGTATCTACTGCCACTACGGAAATAATCTCAAGTATTCAGGAGCTTTGCATCAGGATCTTGGGACAACGGTCAAATAAATATTTTGTATGTCATAGAAGCCTGTACTTCTTTCATAGAAATTTAGGGCAAATAGATTTGTATGACTACTCCAAAATTAAAAAGACACAACCCCCCTTCCCTCACACACACACATCTCAGAAGCCCATTCTGAATGTTCTCAGTTTGATTTATACCCCACAGCTTTGCACTAGGCATCTCAGTTAGCAACTGTTGATGTTCATTTGTGATTCACAAACCCTGAAATGAATATGCTCCTCACAGCACTGCTTTCATGTTGACAATTGAATAGTTAAGTATATAAGGCCATGATTATAAAACTATTATTTAGTCATCAAAATTTAGCTATTAGTAGGAGAAGTTTTACTTAGATGGAAAAGTATTAATGATATGGAGACTGAAGCAATGTGTTCATTTGCTCAGACCCTGAGTTAGTAACAAACCGAAGGATTTGTAATTTGATCTTTTTTTCTGATGACCAATAGCATGATTTAAAGACAAATCTCATACAAAGACTTAAAATTCAGAACATGTAGTCAGTCCAGTCAAATGACTTAAATCAATTTAGTATTTCTGCAAGACATTGGGGAGTTGCCTGTTTTTATGATGCAGGGAACTCTTCACTGTTGTCTTACCAAACTATTTTTTCTTCTAGGTTATCTTCCCACTACACATTTGCATTTGAAATTTTTATAACTAAAAGAAATTTAAATAGGTTTTAGGTTTTTTTTCCTTCTGTGTTTGTGTATAAAGGTTTGTCAATATTGTTAAATATACAAGCAGGCCTGCTTGTTCTGGGAGAGTCATCCATGTGTCTGTGATCTGCATGCAGGATGCTTCTCTGAGAGTAACAAGTGTCAGGATCCTTAGCTCTATCCATGACACAACAGATGGAGAATGAACCAGCAAGTGGGATGGCTGTTGCCAATGTTAAAATAAGTGGGACTTTAGTTCCAATTAGCATTTCTTATCTCACTAGTATAGACCTTGGTGTGCTTATTCAGTAACGGTGAATGGTTCAAAAAATGTCACTATGCTTTCATTTTGGAAATGTATTCTTTAATAATTTGATATAACCTGATACATAATCTCTGATAATAATGATAACAGACAAATGAAATTATAAAATCAGTAATTCTAAAATTATATATAATTGCTAATTTACAGGTTTTTTATTACTATATTTAGATTTCCATGTTTTTATTGCTTCAGTCACCATATCATTAATACTTTTCCATCTAAGTAAAACCTTTCCTATTAATAGCTAATTTTTGATGACTAAATAATAGTTTTATAATAATGGCCTTATATACTTAACTATTTAATTGTCAATATAAAGGTAGTACTGTGAGGTGCATATTCATTTCAGAGTTTTGTGTTTATCACAATTATAGTGAGTCACTAAGGGCTGGGGGGTTTGTTCAGTTAGCAAGCATGAGGACGCAAGTTCAGATCTTCAAGACCTATCTTCAAAGCAGCAATGATATCATGTGTCCATAATCAAGAGTGCTGGGGAGGCAAAGACAAGGGGATGCTGGGACCTTGTATCCAGCTTAACTAATGGGTCAGATTCTTGGGTCAGTGCGAGATACTCTGCCTAAAAAAAAAAAAAAAGTAAGTGGAAAATTGATAAAGAGAACACCAAACATTGATTTCTGGATTCCACATGTACATGCACAAACATATATATTCATCCCCACATTTGTAGACACTCAGTAATACACACACATACACAGAGACACACACAAAGAGGAGGTGTGGGGAGAGAGAGAGCAAGAAAGAGAAATGTAAGTGGCATTAGAGTACTTGTTAGAGTGTTTCATTTTTTTTTTCCCCCAATGGCAGGAAATCAGATAAATCCATGTGGTTTGGGATGGGGGTGAATCTCAGGAATTTTATTCATTCTCAGATCATTTTTTTTTAAACTTTGTAAACCTGTTTATTTCTTTTTAAAATTTTATTTATTGTTTTATTAATTACAGTTTATTCACTTTGTACCCCAGCTGTAGCCCTCTCCCTTGTCCCCTCCCAATTCCACCCTTCCCCCTTTTCTCACCCAATGTCTCTTCCCCAGTCCACTGATAGGGGAAGTCCTCCTCCTCTTCCACCTGACCCTAGTCAATCAGGTCTCATCAGGACTGGCTGCATTGTCTTCTTCTGTGGCCTGATAAGGCTGCACCCCCCCTCATGGGGAGGTGATCAAAGAGCAGGCCAATCAGTTCCTGTCAAAGATTGTCCCTGCTCCCATTCCTATGGAACCCACTTGGACACTGAGCTGCCATGGGCTACATCTGTGCAGGGGTTCTAGGTTATCTCCATGAATGGACCTTGGTTGGAGTATCAGTCTCAGAAAAAGACTCCTGTGTTCAGATTTTTTTTTTTGTTTGTTTTTTGTTTGTTTGTTTTTTTCTGTGCTGTCCTTGTTGTGCTCCTGTCCCCTCCTGGTCTTTCTATCTCTCCCTTCTTTTATAAGATTTCCTGCACTCGGCACAAAGTTTGGCTGAGTCTCAGCCTCAGCTTTGATACCATGCAGGGTAGAGTCTTTCAGAGTCCCTCTGTGGTAGGCTCTTGTCCCGTTCCCTGTTTTCTTCCTCTTCTGATGTCCATCCCATTTGCCTTTCTGAATGAGGACTGAACATCTTACCCAGGGTCCTCCTTCTTGTTTAGCTTCTTTAGGTGTACAGATTATAGTATGTTTATCCTGTATTATATGTCTAATATCCACTTATAAGTGAGTATATAACATGTGTGTCTTTCTTCTTCTGGGATACCTCACTCAGGATGATTTTTTCTAGTTTCTACCATTTGCCTGCAAATTTCATGATTTCCTTGTTTTTAATTGCTGAGTAGTATTCCATTGTGTAATTGAACCACAATTTCTGTATCCATTCCTTAAGTGAGGGTATCTGTGCTTCCTCAAGATCCAGCTATACCATTCCTACTCATATATCCAAAAGATGCTCAAGTATACAACAAGGACATTTGTTCAACCGTGTTCCTAGCAGCTTTATTTGTAATAGCCAGAAGCTGAAAACAACTCAGATCATCTTAACAATATACTGCACTAGTGGCTTATGAGTTATCCAGAAAGGATACAGACTGGCCTTCGGCAGCTATAAGGGATTCACGGCATCATAACTCATGAAAATTCATTAGCAGAGATGTGAATAGGAAAGAACATGAGCAGTGCAGCCCTACTGTAACTCAGGGTAGGCCTGAAAAAGTAAAGTTAATAAAATATGGGATTTAATGTTAAATTGTGTTAATAGGATCAGTATTGTAACTGGACACTGAAATTTTTGCAACATTGCATTGTTATCTCTGAGCTTTGGGGAAAAGGCTTCTTGGAGCCTGTCAAATATAAAGATATATAAACGCACAAGTCCTTTATGTAAAATAGTTTACTATTCACATATAATCTATGAAATTTCTCTTTTGTGCTTCAAGTCATCATTATGATTTCTATATATGTGACTACTATGCAGAGTTGTTGCATGACTTTAAGTAATAACAAGAGAAACAATCTGATCATGTTCAGAATTGGTGCAAGTTTTTATTCCGGTGGCTTTGATGAGCAGATGGCTGAATGCGTGTACATGGAAGTGGACACTGCAGGCATGAGAAGCTACTGTACTTTTAACTACTCGGTAAACATTTTTATAGTATGTTTTATGTTTAGTGCCTCTGTGGTAGTCCAGTAAAATATGGTGGAAACCACAAAGTGATTACTCTTCAGGAGAGATGATGCAATTAAACTGTTTGATTTTGCAGTATGTTTTCCCTTTAAATGTATTCATATTGCAAGACTGTGAAAGGTTAATGGTTTGGAAAAGTATATTCATGGCAGCAGTTGAAATAGAAGCACAGGATCAAACTACAACAATGCAAATATTTGAAATGTTTTTTTATTACCTTCTTTCAGATTATAAAGTAATTAAAGTATTTCTCCCTTCTCTTTTCTCCCCCCAAACCTTCCCATATTCTCTTCCTTGCTCTCTTAAATTTATGGCCTCCTATTATTAATTCTTGTTGCATGTATATGTGTATTTGTATATTGTTAAATACAACCTGCTCTGCCTGTACAGTGTTACTCATATGTATGTTTTCAGGTCTGACCATTGGACCAGTTGTTATGTTCTTCCATGGAATGATGGTTTCTCCTACTCTCAGTATTCCATACTTTCCTGTAGTTCTTTGTGTCTGGTTGAGGTCTATGAGATTATGTTTCCTAGTAATGTCAGAAGCTACACCCACACAGTCTCACTCCTATGACTACTTAAACATGAGTTGAGCAAGGACAACAATGGACATGCTAAAGTGCCCCATGAGATCTCATATTATTTTTTAATCCCTTAGAATTTTGTTTCTATTACTTGGAACCAAGTTATAGTATAAACTTTTTAATTAGCACTACTCTGAAAGATTTAGTACTGCTAAAGTTAAGAGGAAATTTGGTAACTTTTGTTTTATTATATGATAGGGACGAAAGCCATGATGGATATGCAGAAATGGTATTTGAAAACTTCAAAGCTGGCTCTAGCACTGGCAATTATACGTTCAAAACCTGCAGACAGAAGCAGCAGAGAATATACAGAGCACCTCGCCACCCTGGTGACCCAGCAGGAGTCCAAATGGAAATCAAAAATTGCAGCTTTAGAAGCTGAAGTTCTACAATTACGTCAAAAACTTTTCCTGAGTAAGATATCTTCAGGGTTGTTTAAGAATGGTGAGTATGTGAGATCACTTTTTAGTAATGTACAAACCTATTATTATGATAATTAGCTAGAAATGTATTACAAATTTGAGAGATGTTTATTTTTTTTTCATTTAGACATAATCTTCTTGCATCGAAAGACATTTTTCCCTGTTTAGTTAAGCATTACAAGTTGTTGTCACTTTCTAATGAAGGGAGCCATATTAGACTAGGAGATTAAATTAACTGAATCAAAGTACTGCAGATGCCAAAATAGTGTGTATGATTGTTGTTGTTATTGTGGAAAAGAAAGCAAGCATCTTACCACTCAGGGACAGTAATGCTTGTAGTCACTTGAAGAAATTCATTTTAAAATCTCATTCTTCAATTCAACCATCTTATTTTTCTCTTCTATAACTGCCATTTATAAAAATACAAGGTGAGTGATTAAGGCCCCAAAATATGCAATATGAAGTACTATTTTCTTCATTGACCACCTACCATTCTAGTGGGAGAAACAGACCTAAAATTAACCCAGTTGTGTTGTATTACAGTGGAGAACAATAGAGGCATTGACAATTCATCCTGGCTAATTTTTTGGAAGGTTTCAGAGGTCTGGGTCAATGAAATTGTTGCAGAGGATCTAGCAAAAGAGTATGAGCAAAGAGTGAGAATCAGAGACTACACCCCCTTCAGAATCCCATCCCAAATTCTGTGTTTTGGAGTAACCAGAGTTCTTGTGAGCAGGTTGGACGTGACAGAAAGGAGGAGAGGTGACTTTGGAGAGTTCAAAAGGTCCTAAAAATCAAGGGAGCAAAGTTGTACTTTGTTCATTAGTGTCAAGCTCACCATATGAATGTCTGCACTAGTTCCTTGTGACCTTAGCGGGGAATCTAATAGTGATTATCCTAGGAAGGTTCAGGCAAACCAGGGATCCCTTGAGTAATCTGGAACATGCATCCCATGATCCACTTCATTCAGGAACTTTTCTGAAGGAGGAGAATGACTAGGAAACAATTCTAGTAACTGGAGAAAAACATGTAAGTCAGATCATGTTATAAACTAGGTCATGTTACTTGTTTGTGTAAAACTCTTCTCTGACTTCTATTTTTGTTTCATTTTAGATCAAGACTTTTACAGTGTCCCGTATGTGATGTCACTTGTACTCATCTCTTCCTCCCAACCTTATCTGCACTTATCCGTCATAAGTTCCTTCTACCTTTGAAGGCTCCATGTGGGGATATATCTCTGCTATCTTTTCTCACATCTGTGTCTGTTCTTGTTATTCAGTTTTTATTTTAAATGTCTTGTCCTCAGTGCAGTTTTCCCTGACCATTCTGCTTACATTTTATGAGTCACTCTATGGAAAGTGTGCTTGGTTGCCGCCTTAGCTTCTGATCTATTGTCTGAGTTTCATCGATGAGGAAGAGGTGTCTGTGATTTTCCCAGCCTGCATCCTAACACATTACAAGGTGCTCAGTGACTACCTGGTCAATGAATGTGAAACAGCCATCACTGGACACAGGAATACCAATTTTAAAACCTTTTTTCAAAGCCTGTGATTTGAACTCATGTTAAAATGTAAACATTAGTGTGAGCTATTGAGAGGGTGAGGCTCATAGGGACTTATAGAAAGTGACTTGAATAGTATGTTGACTAGTATAGTTGCCTTGGTCGTGATGTCTCTTCACAGCAATGCAACCCTAACTAAAAGAAGGTGAGATAAAGCAAAGGGGGCATTACAATATCAGGAAAGTCAAAGAAGAACTGAGTGGTTGTCTAAGGACAGACAATTTGAAAGGATGTCACGACTTGCTTTACAAAAACCTATTCCAAGATATCAAAACGATAGTAGAGAGATATCTATATTATTAACTATTTTTTTCTGGAGTTTTTAGTGTTTTTTTTTAATATTTCTTACTGTTCTTACATGTTCTGAGACTCTTAATCAATGCAGAATTGAATACGTCTGGAAAGATTGACTGACTGGGAACATAATTTACAGAATCATCTATCCTCTGAAGCAGTGAACAATCTAGAATTAAATGAAGCAGAGCGGAAATGGCTTATACAACATCTTAGGAACTGAACTATTTCTGTATTCTGATTGATTTTTTTTCTATCCTTCCTTAATGAGGAGTATATTCCTTAGGGAACTGCACTAGAGAAGGGATAAGTAGAATCCGATTGTAGAATTATACCGTATGCTTACTTTATTGAAATGTTCACTAGTAGTAAAGAAGGAAGTGATGGAAGAAAGGAGCAAGTGAGGGAAGGAGAGGGAAAGGAAGAATCCTGAATACCTGTGGTGCTAAACCAAGAAATGATTTGGGACTGTTGCAGCCACTGACTAACATGCTAAGGAATGCAAAACCATGAGGATGATGTGAGCCTGTATCCTGGTGACATTGCTCTTTTATCTAGAGCAGATCTTGTTAATAAACTTTTAAAGGGTAGAGAATTTACCCCACAAATCTACTCAATTGTAGGGGAGAAAATGAGAGAAAAACAATGTTCTTCAATCTGCAACAGCTTTATCAAAGCTGGCCTCATGATGATTGCTAGTACTTAATCTAGGGCTGAATAAAAGGAAGAGAGAAATCTGAAGGCATAGGACCAGGCCAGAAAGGTGTTAATGGCTATCCTTACCCTATAAGAATATCAAAAAAGATGAGATGCCAGTGGCAAGGCTTCCATAGTGAAAATAAAATTCACAGGATTGTATTGCACATAAGGAAGATTAGAATTTAATGATAGTTAGGGAGGATATATATATAGATATAGATATATAGATATATAATTTTTATTCTATTTTTAATTACACTTTATTTACTTTGTATTCCCCCCTCTAGTTCCCTCCCTCCTCCCCTCCCAATCCCTCCCTTCCACTCCCTTCTCCATGCATGCCCCTCACCAAGTCCACTGGTAGGGGAGGGTTTCTTTTTCTTCCTTCTGATCCTAGTCTCTTAGGTCTCAACCGGAGTGACTGTATTATCTTCCTCTGTGGCCTGGTAAGGCTGATCCCCCCTCAGGGAGAGGTGATCAAAGAGTAGGCCAATCAGTTCATGTCAGAAGCAGTCCCTGTTCCCATTACTATGGAACACACTTGGACACTGAACTTCCATGGGCTACATCTGTGCAGGGGTTCTAGATTATCTCCATGCATGCATGGTACTTGGTTGGAGTATGAGTCTCAGGAAAGACCCCTGTGCTCAAATTTTTTGGTTCTGTTGCTTTCCTTGTGGAGCTTCTGTCCTCTCCAGATCTTACTATTTCCCATTTCTTTCATAAGATTCCCTGCATTCTGTCCAAAGTTTGGCCATAAGTCTCAACATCTGCTTTGATAGTCTGCAGGGCAGAGCCTTTCAGAGGCCCTCTGTGGCAGGTTCCTAACTTGTTTCCTGTTTTCTTCTTCTTCTGATGTCCATCTCTTTGCCTTTCGGGATGGGGACTGAACATTTTAGCCAGAGTCCTCCCTCTAGATTAGTTTCTTTAGGTGTACAGATTGTAGTAGGTTTACCTATATTACATGTCTATATGAGTGAGTATATACCATGTGTGTCTTTCTGCTTCTGGGATACCTCACTCAGGATGATCCTTTCTAGTTCGGGAGGGATATTTTTATAAGTAATTTGTACCTTCATAGTCGTTTGGTATTCAAATGAAGAAAATAGATGGATAAAGCATGTAGTATATGCTGTTTACATTTTTGTCTTTTCATAAATGACAGCCTACAGGATGAACAAACAATTGGCTAGAGCAAAATAAAGTTAAGATCAAGTTAATTTATTGATTTATATATCTATTATCAAGTATTCATTGGACACAGGAGTGGAAGGGAGGTTCAACATGCAAGCTCATACACTTGCTTATGGTTGAGTTTTGGCTTTTGCCTCTGTGTCCAGGAGATAATTAACTCAACTAGATTGCTTTGTGAATCCTCTGGCTGACATTATATTTGTCTCCCCAGTCTCCTTTGCTGATGTTTGTCCTGAGGATTAAATCCTAACTGTTTCACTTCTTCAACCGCTCCTACTTTTCATCCAGTGCAAATGTGGACTCAGCAAAATGTTTTTAGCTGAGCTGATGACAGCAAGGCAACAGAACAGGAGCTGTACATCATCCCATGTTTGTGTACACGCTGCTAGAGCTAAGGCAGCACTTGCTTCGGGAAGCCATTAACCGGTTACAGCCACTGGGCCTTAGCTCATCCTTATGTTCTTATCCTTTGACAGACCACATACAGAGAATCTGCCTCATGGATACAACTGTGAAACTCAACATTATGTAACACTTAAAATACAAATTATCAAATATGATGATAATGGAAATTTGATTAAAATTGTGGTTAATTTAAAACAGTCACAGAAAGTTACTTGCATTAAAATATGCACTCAGTTGAGGTTTTATTGAAATTCTTTATAATAATTACAGAGAAATTTACAATTATATATTAGAAATGCTTTACTCATTACACAAAATTGAATTAACTTGATATTACAAATCATCAAATATAAACAATTAAATTAAGGTTGAACTAATTAGAATATAAAATAGTTTTAATAGTGATAAATCCAAAATTAAGAAACAATAGATACCTTAATTATAAAAATTTCTTATGAAATATAGGTACTTAATAATCTATTTTTTTTCTTTCAACACAATGTTTCTTTGTGTAGCCTTGGCTTTCCTGGACTATATAGACCAGGCTAGCCTTGAACTTAACAGACATCCACCTGCCTCTTGACTCTCTGAGAGCTGCAATTAAACATACAAAAACATAAAGTATCTTGGTATAAGTCTACCCAAGCTAGTGAAAAACTTGAATAAAAAAAAATCAAGTCTCTGAAGAAAGAAATTGAAGAAGATGTCAGAAGATAGAAAGATCTCCCATGCTCATGGATCAGTAGGATTAACATAGTAAAAATGGCCATCCTACCAAAAGCAATCTATAGATCCAATGCACTTCCCATCAAAATACCAACATAAGCTCTATCCCCATTCAGAAAGACAAAGAGGATGGACGTTGGAGGAGGGAGAAAACAGGGAACAGGACAGGAGCCTACCATGGAGGGCCTCTGAAAAGCTCTATCCTGCAGGGTGTCAAGGCAGATGCTGAGACCAATAGCCAAACTTTGGGCAGAGTGCAGGAAATCTTATGAAAGAAGTGGGAAATAGTAAGACCTGGAGAGGACAGGAGCTCCACAAGGAGATCAACAGATCTTAAAAGTCTGGGCACAGGGATATTTTCTGAGACTGATACTCCAGCCAAGGACCACTCATAAGAGATAGCCTGGACCCCCTGCACAGAGGTAACCCATGGCAGTTCAGTGTCCAAGTGGGTTCCATAGTAATGGGGACAGGGACTGTTTCTGACAGGAACTTATTCGCCTACTCTTTGATCACCTCCCTCCTGATGACACCTGATAGACTAGGATCAGAGGGAAGGGGAGGAGGACCTCCCTTACAAGAGGAGGGGTACTGGTGGGCAACAGGAAGGGAGGGTGGGATTGGGAGGGGAGGAGGGAGGTTCAGGGGGGATACAAAGTGAATAAACTGTAATTAATAAAAAGAAAAATATTAATAAAAAAAAACAAAAAAATACCAACATAATTCTTACATATCCTGAAAGAGCAGTTCTCAACTTCATATGAAAAAAAAAAACAAAAACCAGAATAGGTAAAACTATTATGTAAAATAAAAGATCTTCTGGAGGTATCTCCATATCTGATCTCAAGCTGTACTATAGTGCAACAATAATAAAAATTGGATGCTATGGGCATAGAGACAGAATGTTGTATCAATGGATTCGAGTAGAAGACCCATAAATAAACCCACACATGAACAGACACCCGATTTTGGACAAAGCAGCCAAAACTATACAATGGAAAAAAGATAGCATCTTTAACATATGGTGCTGGTCTAACTGCATATCTACATGGAGAAAAATGAAAATAGATCCATATTTATCACCCTGAACAAAACTAAATTTCATGTTGGATCAAAGACCTCAACATGAAATCAGACACACTAAATCTGTTAGAAGGATAAGTGGGGAAGAGCCTTGAACTCATTGGCACAGGAGACAACTTCCTGAACAGAACACCAACAGCACAGGCTCTAAGATCAACAATCAATAAATGGGA